TCTAATCTAGTTGCTTCGATAAAATATCCAAATGGCCCTCAAAGTATGTCATCTTTATAGAATAGTCTGCAAAATGTATTGTCTTCACAAAGTAATCCTCAAAGTTCAAACAATCGCAATTTCAACCCTAAAGGAGAAAATAAAAAAAAGGGTAAGACGTATTATGATTATTGCAAACAGAAAAATTTGTAATAACTCTTTCTAGCTAGTATACTTTGGAAAATATAATATGAATTCACTAAACATGTTATAAAAACATATAAGTATATAAGTAGAAGGTGGTAGGCCCAAAAAATTTCTTTACTTTTATATATTAAATTCTTTACAACAACTAAAGTATCATATACATAATCTCAAAATACGGTGGACAGTAGTGTCATTCCCCTCCGCTTCTCGCCATTCCATCTGACTGCTTCTCACCTATTTCCTGCAAAAACATTTGAAAACAACTGGGTGAGCACTAGTTGCTCAGTAAGTAAATCCGCTATGCTATTCTTCTATCTCTGTTGTTCATATTCTGAATTTCTTTCCTTACATCACACTTTTCTATTCTTCTCGGTTCTTTCTTTGTTCTTTCTCTGTTCTAATTCTTTCTGTTCTTTCTCTATTTCTAATTTCTCACTACTCATGATAGTAAACATGGTATCATGCATAGGTGTGATGCACGAATGCATAGGATGTGCATTTTCCTTTCTGTTTTTCTATTTCTTATTCTGTTTTTCTTTTTTCTCTGTGTTTCTTTCTTTCTCTGTTCTTCTTTCTTTTATTCTATTCTTTCTTTTCTTTCTATTCTTCCTTTTCTTTCTCTTCTTTCTCTTCTTTCTTTTCTTTCTATTCTTTGTCGATCGAACTTGGTTGAGGTATAGATTCGGAACCCTGGCCGTGTGAGTGAGTACAGTCCTCATTTACATGCACTTCTTACAGACTGTACAAATTATTCTTCTTCTCAGGCCTCTCACTAAAGGCAGCATGCATGCAGGTATATTCTTCTAGGTACAGTCCTCATCCACATGCACTCTTACGAATTCTACAGTTCTTCTTCTTATTCTTAGGCCGCTCATTGAAGGCGGCGTACATGTGAGAATATTCTTCTTCTTGTCACTCACGTGTTCCCCATCGCAACAACCTTCTTTTCTTTTATCTTTCTTTTAGAAATTAGTATTCTTTTCTTTTCTTTAATAATTCTCTTTTCTTCAATAATTCTCTTTTCTTCCTTTGCTCTTTAATATTCTTATATGCATGTATGCATGTAGAAGGGTTTTCTTATTGTTCTTTCTCAATTCAAATATTAAATGCAAGAATGCAATATGGCATGTATTCATGTCATTCTCTACTTTCTCTACCATCTACAAACTCATATTAAAATAATAAATCAATATATTCATACATGCACTTCTCTATGAAATTTCATCAAACACTTTGTATGCACAAATAAAGTACTAAGGTGATTACACTCTACCATCTACAAACTCATATCAAAATAATAACTCAACAAACTCATACATGCACTTCTCTATGAAATTTCATCAAACACTTTGTATGCACAAATAAAGTACTAGGAAACACTTTGTATGCACAAATAAAGTACTAGGGTGATTACACTTCCATAACAATCTCTAACCACCAAAATTTTGGAGCAAAGCTCCCTAAAAACAACTCCAAACCTGGCCAAGAAAATACACTACATAACTCTACTCAAATTCTTTCTTAGCTCATACAAACTTCCATCAATTTCTATAAACATAACCATCACTCCTCATGGTGGAATTCTAACCATGAATCATCATCAAATCTCAACACTCAAAGTACATAAAATACATATAAAACTTTCTCTACACACAATATTGCTCAAATCAAGGGCTAAGGTTGGATTTACTTACCTTGAACTTGGGTAGTTCCACACTAGAATTTCTCTCTTTGGTAGACTTCCTCTTCTCCTAAAACCCTATGCATATAAACTATAAGAATTCAATACTTTAAAAATTAATCTCATATTTTCTAGCTAGAATTCTTACCTTTGGATGCTTAGGATTGAATCTCTTCCAAAATCTAACCAAAAATCCTCTAAATTGCCTTGGAAATTTGATGAAGAAATTGAGAGAATTTGGGGATGAAAGTGGTGTGTGAGGGGTAGAGAATGGTAGGATTTTCATTATTGAACCCTTAATATCTCATTTATTACTTATACCTTCCCATTTTGCCCTTGCACTTTCTATGAATTTTCACCTTTGCCCTTTAATCAATTACAAAAATACCCTCATTTCCATTGCATTCTTTATGAAATTCCACTACTTTTCACTCCCCACATTTCAACTAATTATGGGTGGAATGACCATTTTGCCCTTAAGAAAGTTTTTTCTAGAATTTTCTCAAAAATGCCAACAAGTTCTTTGCCCTGGCGAAGCTTTTTCTTCACCTCGGCGAGACATTCCAAAGCATACCTTGCCGCGGCGAAGTCTGTAATTCTAAAAGCACAATTTGGGCAGTATGTACAATGCCGTGGCGACAAAACTCCTTTGCCGCGACAAAGTCTGCAAATTCTAATTTTTCAATCTTTCACCTTAAAATAAGCAAAATTAAGGGAATTAAAGCATAACTCAGTTACGTACCTCGATGTGGGCATTACAAAATCACACTCCAGACACATGCTAAAAATTACATGGATGACTGGGTTCCACCAAAGGAAAGACTGAAACACCGATGGCCAACCAAGTCAAGACAACTTCAGAAAATCAACTTTTAATGCCTACACTCAGTCAGGATCAATACAGTCAACTCCTTCAAATCTTGAATCAGATCCCTAAAACTGACAGCACCTCAGGATCCTATATAAGTACGTATTTCTGTCTAAATACTCTTTGTTTTGCTGATACATGGATTATTGATTCAAGAGCTAGTGACCATATTGTTTGCACCGCGAAATTATTTGACAAAATTGAACCCATTTTACCACCCACACCAATCAAAATGCCAAACATGAATTTTTCTTAAGCAATACATATAGGGAATGTTATACTCACAAAACAGTTAGTCTTAAATAATGTTCTGTGTCTCGACTTTTACTTTTAACCTTATCTCCATATCTAAGATTTGTACAGACAACCATTGTTCCGTCCAATTTTTTCCTACTATAACTGTTTGACCAGCAAACTAATGGGCTTGGGTAGGATTCATCAAGGGTTATACTACTGGTCATCCATCCGAGAAGAGTAACCACAATAAAAGAGTTAAATAATTGTATTCCCAATAAAAATATTTCTCTATGTAATACAAATTATAGCAATAAAACCTCTTTTATTTCTCATCATCGATTGGGCCACAGTAGCACTATTCCTTACAATAATTGTCCAATTTGTCCACTTGCCAAACTAACACATCCAAGTTTTCCTCTTAGTATGTCTACAACCACAAGACCATTTGCCCTGGTTCACATGGGCATTTGGGGTCTTTATCATACCCCTAATCATGAGGGATCACGTTACTTTCTGACTATTGTCGAAGACTACTTTAGAGGAACATGGGTTTTTCTTATAAACACCAAAGCTCAAACTCATACCCATATTGGGCAATTCCTAATCATGGTTCAAACCCAGTTTCAGACAAAAGTGGAATGAACTCGTATTGATAATGCCCTTGAATTCTTTAATAACCAAAACACAACATTATTCATTTGCCATGGAATTCTTCATGAAAGTTCCTACACATGCACACCTCAGCCAAACGGGGTAGTTGAGAGAAAACACCGACACTTACTAGAGGTAGCTATGGCTCTAAAACACCAAGCCAACATTCTTAATTTTTTCTAGGGTGAATGTGTGGTCACAGCAGCTAATCTGATCAATCGGATTCCGATTAAAGTTCTACAAGGAAAAACACCTTATGAACTTTTATTCGACAAGAAACCTGATATCAGCCATCTCAAAGTATTTGGATGCTTATGTTAAGCTATTGTTGTACCATCAAAGACAAGCTTGATGCTCGAGCTAGGCGATGTATCTTTATAGGGTATATAATGGTACAAAAGGGATAATGGCTGTATAATCCAGATTAGGATATTTTTTTCACCAGTCGAGACGTGGTATTTTATGAAGAAGTCTTTCCATTCACAAAAAAAGAATCTAAAAGCACCACTTCTCAGTAGATTTCTGAAGCACTTGAAGATGTCATGTCTCCTAATCTAACAATGATTCCGATTATAGATAAAGCCCACAAAATACCATCTACAGAAAAAACTACTGCAGAGGAAAATAACAATACTGACCTAGCAGTGCCAGACAAAAATCAGCCAATTGAAGGTCTTTCACCTACATCTTCACCTTCAAAACCAAAACAAACACCTGTGCATTTTTCTTCCTGCACAATCTAACCACCTATCTGGAGTACAGATTACATTTGTCCTACAACTTATAACTCTACCATCTACCCTATTTCTAATTATGTCAGGTATGATCGTCTTTCCCTTTCACACATAATATGCATCAGTCAAATCTCTGAAGCACGAGAACTGACATCCTATTTTGAGGCGATACAACATTCCCAATGGTAGCAAGTGATGGAGGAAGAAGTTAATGCTTTGGCTCTTAACCATATATGGGATATACCACAACCTACTCACAGAAAACTGATAGGATGCAAATAGGTATATAAAATCAAACATCGGGCAAATGGATATATCGAGTGTTACAAAAGCTCGTTTGGTGGCCAAAGATTTCACTTAATGAGAAGGACTTGATTATCAAGAAACATTCTCGCTGGTTGCTAAACATGTTACTATCCGACCTTTCTTAACTGTAGCTGCTTTCAGAGATTGGCCCTTACTTCAGATGGACGTCCATAATGCATATTTTCATGGTGATTTAGATGAAGAAATTTACATGGAACTTCTTCCATGGATTTGCAAACAGGGGGAGAAGGCAATATGTCGTTTGCGAAAATCCCTTTATGGACTAAAGCAAGCGTTGTGATAGTAAAATGCTAAATTTACGGAAGCACTGGTGAAAATGAGTTTTAAAAAATCCAAAAATGACTACGCTCTCTTCACATGGAATAATGGAGCTTCCTTCATCAGTCTCATAATATATAGGGATGACATCCTCATCACTGGAAATGATGAAAGGGCTATTGTGGCACTAAAAGAACATTTGAATAAAAGCTTCCACATCAAAGATCTAGGAACACCTAAGTTCTTTCTTGGGATTGACATTGCAAGATCACCAACAAGCATTTCCCTAAGTCAACGAAAATACGCTTTAGAACTAATCTTTGATTTTGGGTTGTCAACATGCAAACCTAGTGTTGTTCCCATAGAACAAAATATCGAAGTCACAATCATAGAACATGAGACTGAAAGACAATCACCAGAAGAAGATCCCCCTCTACAAGATCATACAAGTTATCAAAGGTTGGTAGGGCATCTTATTTATCTTACAATGACTCAGTCAGATATAAGTTATGCGGTACAGATTCTCAATCAGTTCATGCAGGCACCAAAACAATCCCACATGGATGCTGCCATCAAAGTAGTAAAATATTTGAAAGGATGTCCTGGTGTGGGATTACTACTTCCTCAAAAAGGAAAGATGGAGATTTCCGCTTATTGTGACTCAGATTGGGGATCATGTCCAATGACAAGGAGATCATTAACAGGTTTCTGTATTAAGCTTGGAAGCAGTCTTATTTCTTGGAAAGCAAAGAAGCAAGCCACAGTGTCATTATCATCCACAGAAGCTGAATATAGGGTCATGGCTAACACCACATGTGAAATTATCTAGATTCTTGGACTTCTGAAAGATCTTGGAGCACAAATTAAGGAGCATGTTAAGCTTTATTGTGACAATAAGGTAGCAAATGATATTGTAGTGAATCCGGTATTTCATGAGAGAACAAAGCATATAGAAATTGACTGTCATTTCATCAGAGATAAGATACAGGAGGGAGTCATTAAAACTGCGCATGTTCGAACCACAGATCAACCAGTTGACATCTTCACAAAGGCCCTCAGTAGCAAACAACAGTTACATCTTTTACGCAAGCTTGGGGTTTATGACATTTATAAACCACAAACTTGAGGGGGAGTATTGGAAGGATGACGGAAGTCAAGGATTGACTTCCATCATATTGGAAAGATGGCGCACATCAAGTATTGACTTCCATTTTTGTACCTTAATTGTTGCTTGTAATATTATGCAGATTGTATTGCTAAAAATCATTTCTTTCCTTTTTGTTACGTTTTCTTCTTGTATAAGAATGCAGCAATTGTACATGAATGATACACAGAAAAGAAATACAAAAATTGTTTCTTCATCCTTATCTTTGAGCTTTCTCTGTTATTCTTGCCATCTCTAGCTCAGTCTCTTCTCTCTAACATAACCCATCATCCTTATTTATTCTACTGGATTAAATTTCAAAATCTAAGTTTCCCTTTTTCATACAACCTATTTTCTCTCAAAATTCTTATACAAAATATTTTTTGTAATCACTTCAACTTCTTGAGAACTAACAAAAAAAAAAAAAAAAAAAGAACTTGTCACATAACATATCAATTAGGACGGATAAATGTTAAAAAATCATTCTATTTCACTGTTTTCCTATATGTGATAAAATTAAACAATAGTTTAATCCTTGTTTAACTAGCAAATTAAACTAAATTTCTTAAAGCAAGCCCTAAGTAAGAATAGTCAATGAGAATATCCATTACTTGTTTGATTCCATCTTTAATCCCTTCAACAACAACAACAAAATTAATCACAATAACATATCTATAAACAATGAATTTCAAACTACACTCTTAGAAAAAAAAAAAAAAAAAGGAAAAAAAAAAGTTTAGGGTATTGAAGAAAAGATATATATATATGTATTAAAGAAATTATTATCGAGATTTAAAAAGACCTTTGGTGGATGAAATTGCTAAGCCCAAAACATCCACAAGTAAATACTAAATATGAATATGCTAGAGCCCAAAAAAGCCAATAAATGGGCTAGGGAAGACAAAGAGACAAATAGAAAAAGGGGTACCGGCGTAAATTACTAAAAATTCTGCGGTGAACCCGATGCTTTTGTTAAATAAGAAATTACCCTAAATATAAGTGGAAATGGACTCGACAGTTCATCCCCACTAAAACAATATCAACAATAACCCTAATTCAAGGAAAATTATCCTTCCCAACATGCCGACACTGACTTTCATTGTCATTTTCAGACATCAATTAAAAGCCTCTCCACGTTCGGAAGACACCATGGTTGCCAACAAAGCATTCTTTTGTGATGTCTTTCTCCTGGTCTACTTCTAAAAGGTTATTACGTGAACACCCCTAAGGTTTAGTGAGAGGAAAAGAAGACCCACAAGTTTTATTATTGATTTTTTACACCTTTATAATTGACACTTTTTGAACAGTTAATTTAGACACAGAATCCGTGGGTCTGAAACTACAACAAAATGGATTTAACAGAAACCACAGCCCAGCATATAAACTTCCCTGAAAGCTTCACATCCACAACAAAATGGACAAATCTTTCGTATAACATGATATCTGGTAGTTAGTACTAAATGATGCTTCAAAATTTTTATCTCCAAACAGCCCATTAAACTCGCTTCTGCCTCTTTATTCTCTCCAAGGCGCCGAGACGATTCTCACTGTCCTTATCTTTAACAGCAACTGTATCATCTCCATCCTCCTCTTTTTCACTCTCTTCTCTCTTTCTGCCTAGACCTCCAAAAACTGCTGCTGGAACATTCTTTTGTGCAATTTCCACTTTTTCTTCATCTTCTGAGTCACTTTCATCAGGGAGCTCAATGTCTTCATGATTTGCTGAGGCTTTTATCCCATTATCAGGCTGGGACTCCACTCCAGCACTCACGAACCCCACTTTTCTGCTACTGTCTTTGGCAGTAGTATTGTCTGTGGCGGGTGCTAATTGCCTTTCCAATGCAGCCATTTCATCTTCAAGGACCCCAGCCTGTTTCAGTTTGTCTTTGGCATCATCTATAGTCAGTCTCTGATCTTTCTGCATGAGATACTCTGGGAGAATGAAGTGCGTCTGAAAGAACAATAAAATTAGAATTAGAATCAAATCAGTATTTAATTTGACTGTACAAATTACACAAGAAGCCAAGAAAGAAAATCCAAACAGAGATGAGATGGATATCAGAAATGAGAAACCTCAGTACATTTATTAGAAGAACCACCACCTAGGATTCAGGCAAAGTGACCCACTCAACTAAACAAATACACTAAATTGTTATACAAATGGCTGCTCCCAGAGCATCCCTAAACTCAGTAAAGCACCAAAGGTTAACAGGAAAAACCACTTGTTTATATTTGGTAAAAAAGGAGAGAACTAATGCTTGAACATCTTCATTAAAGTCTCCAAAATTCACCTGGAAAGAAATAAATAAATGATTCAAATTGACAAAGATTCCCATCAAGCACATCTTCCTATCTCTTGGTTTTCTTTATTCATTATCAACTGACTGCTTGCATCAGAAAAAAATAAATTTATGGTTCAATTTAACATAACCCAGGAAAATTCTGAAAGACAATAATGGTTGATAATCAACCAAATGTTTCTGTGATAGTACTTTCTAGACCTAATACCCTTCTATCAGCTGCTAAACTAATTTGAAAAGCTAATTCTACGTATGCCTTCAGTAGCAAAAGATAGGAACTTTTGGTAATCATAGTTCATACGTCATTAAGTTAATAATTATGATCAAATAACAAAGTTGTATCCACCCTTTTGTTTGTTGCATAGAGAAGCCTATGCAACAGACAAGAACCATTCCGAGCTACAGTATCATTTCTTAGCATGGAAATTACTTTACTTTAAGGAAATTGAACCCAACTCAAGGAGAAGGAAAAAGAAAAAGTACCTGGCTATAGCTTGCAGAAACACTCCGTTTAATGCGTAACATTTCTCGGAAGGTATCTTCATTTCCATGTTGTACCTCAAATTCATGCCATCTATTCCAGAAGTCAGAATCAGATCGTGGATCAGCAAACTGAGACGCAAATACATATACAGCACGAGCACGATCAATTTCTCCCAAGCTCTTTTCTAGTTCTGCATACTTCAAACACATGGTCTTCACATCTTTGTCTGGAAGATCAGACTCTATTGCTTGCTCATATATTTCCCTTGTTTTTGGTACACCAAATATCTCAGCCGCTTGTGCAATATATATTTCATACATTTCCAATTTCTCGTGGTTTGGAACTGCTTTAGTAGCCTGATGATAGACCTTCATAGCTCGCTTTGCTAGACCATAATCTTCCTCCAGTTTTGCATATTGAAGATACAATGGTTTAACTGCATCAGCAGGGGCCTGATAAACAAAAGAAAAAGCATGTTAAGTTCAGTATCATGCAGTTAAAAAGTCAGAATGATAAATAATACAGGTAAGTTTCAGAGGCTTTGATTTAGGAGGAATAGGACACTTATAGGAATAAGACTCTTCTGTTCAAGTTTTCTCCAACATCATCCAATTTGTTTTTTTCCAAGTCATTTTGAGTAAAAATTCCAGCCATTGGTGCAAGAACTTTGATAAAGTAATATAAATTGAAGAATAAAACCACATTCTCTTAATAAGCTAGCTCAACTTGAGACTAATATTACTACTACCGCTATTAAAATTCTATCCTCTGAAACCAGACTTAAATGACCAAACTTCTTGTATCGATTACAAATGAACATAAAAAATTACTTTATAGCACAATATTGATGAAAATCACTTGTTACTACATTATGACTAAACTCCCATGGCATCCAAAATATCTGTGATCTAAAGTTCCACCTCATGAGCTTTGTCAAATTTCTAGTTTGAAAGAAAAAATCACGACGACATGACATTTTTGTCCATAAAATAATCAAACACATGCCAATTGCCAAACATTAAAATTAACAATTATAATAGAAAATAGCCCTCTCATGCTTTAATTCAATACGAATTTGAGATATAAAAAGGACATATTTCTGAAAATTGCAGAGGCAATAGATAACATTTAGATATAATCAAAACAAGAGAAGAAAGAAACTGGGGCAAACAGACAAAATGCAAATGCAAAAACACAAACCCCCTGGTGCAAGACTTCAAATGTCCAATGCCTTAATTAACAAGGTTATGCCAAACTGACTAACACATTTTTCATGTTAATCCCGTTGACTAAATTTCAAGGTAAATTAAAATTTAAAAATAATAACAGAAAACAGCTCTCACATGCTTCACTTCAATGTGAATTTGAGATATACAAAAGACGTGTTTCTGAAAATTGCAGAGGCCATAAGAATACATTTGTGATCTGTATACAATCAAGAAGAGATGAAGGAAGCTGGAGTAAACAGACAAAGTGAAAATGCACGAACACATAAACCCCTGGTGCAAGACTTCAAATTCCAATGTTTAATTAGCAAAGGTTATGTGCATTGGCTAAATGCATTTTATCATATAATCCCGTGACTACTTGCATTTTATCATATAATCCCGTGACTACTTCAAGGTTAATTAAAATATACGGAGAATATGTCAAAGAACCGATCAGTCTAAATTCCCACAGTCAAGAAGCAATCTAAATGAATCACATCACAACACATCTATCCATTAAAGCTTCAAGAAAAATCACAAATCCAATTTAACAGTGGAAACTCATATGCAGGCAACTCTCGAACGATAAATAAGACTAGAAAACTGGAGTAACTACAAAAAGCAGCAATGATCACAACAGTAACAAAGAGCATACCGTTTCAACAGCATTGTCAAATAATTCTCTTGCCCTTTCAAGTTTAGTCTTCCCATATCTCTTTACAAACTTTGAGAGGTATGTGACCCAGATATCTTTTACATGAGGATACTTAAAAATCTTGACTCCTCTTTCATATACTTTGAATGCATCTTCAAAGTATTTATGCTCCTGCACAAGTTGAAATAGAAAAAATATATCTACAAAATCCAATAAAGGTAAAAGGAGTGTAATAGAAAAAGTGAAAAACCATACAAAAAAAGTACATACTTCCAGAAGCAGTGCATAATTTATGATAATCTGAGGTGTGGCAATTCTCAAATCCAATATGCGCTCATAAACAGCCCGAGTGGATTCCAAGGTACCCAAGCTCTCTTCCAAATCCACATAAAAGGCCCAAAGTCTCAAGGATTTATGCAACTTCATCTGAGCTGGCTCATTTCCATCAGCAGCCACTGCAAGTGAATATAAAAAACCAATGGCTCAAAGGTTAGTAATTGTTTCACAAATACCCCAGGACTAGCTACTCAACCTTTTTTCCCTTGAAACTTAATAATGTCAGAAAAAAAAATTAAATCCAGAATAGCTCTTAAGAACAAAATGAATTTAGTACAGAATGTACCATGCTCTGAAGTTTCCATATCAAAATTGAGTACACAAGAAAATCTGAGGTAAATAGTTTTGAATCCCATGCAAGGCATAACAAAATGATCAATATCCATATCTTTCTTAAATGGTTGAAAAGTCAAAACTATTTGAAGATGCTACTGATGTGCATAGTACCTAACCTCGAAGTATATTTGTGTCCATGCTCATTTATGAGATAGTAAATGTTAATCAATCATATAAGTCTTCTCATATTTTGGACCTATCCTCTAACAATTTTTGTAACCTTTGTTTCAAACACGGTAAAAGTTCTAATACCATAAGCAGATGTAAAAGGCTATAACGAACAGCAAGTAGTACAAGCAAATCCATAAAGAGAGGAGTATGTGTAAGGCTATAATGGCCCGAGAGTGAGTAATTGTTCCACAAATACCCTAAGATTAGCTACTCAACCTTTTTCCCTAGAAACTTAATAATGCCAGAAAAACAACTACGAAAGATCAATCCAGAAGAGCTCTTAAGAACGAAATCAATTTAGCAACAGATCCATATAAACTTACAATTCTTGATCCATATAAACTTACAATTCTTTCATGTAACTTATTTATAAGATCCTAACAGTTAATCAATCATATAAGTTTGACACAATTTGGACCAATCCACTAACAATTTTTCTATGTAACCTTTGTTTCAAACATTGAAAAAGATATAATACCACAAGCACATAAAAAAGGCCACAATAAATAGCAAGTAGTACAAGTAAATCCATAAAGAAAGAAGTGTAAGGATTACCTCTTCGTTTGACCTCAACTGATGGCTCTGCTGTGGCACGCCTCATAAGGTCCAGTGCTCCTCTGAAATTTTTATGCCTCAACTCCATTTCTGCCCACTCACACCAAACACTGGCCAGGTGGTCTACAGCCTTGTAGTTCACTTGGACTGCTTTATCAAAAATCACTCTTGCATTGGCAACATCCTTGTGGCTCTCATATAACTTAGCAAATGCGACCCAAAGAGTGTGGGGCTTCCCCACAGCTTTCATAGGATCAATGGTCCTCACTGCCTCTGTGTACGTCAAAATCTGCTTGGTGGGATTACCCTCAAATATCTTGACCCTCCTATGCCACTGTTCAACATTATGTGGATTTTGCCTTAAGAGGACACTATTAGCCAACTCTGGCCTCCTGTTCATTAGATGCTCCAATCGAGCCAACCTTAAATCAACATCATTGTCATCGTGCAACCAAAAACCATGAAGAATCTTCTTCTCAAGCTTAGCAATTGATAAATTCAAATCCAATCGAACATCTTCATCTTCCTCAAAACCATTCTCCTCAACAACATCTTCTTTCTCCTCATCACTTGACTCCATCGTCTCCATCTTATGAGCAACCATACTCTCCTCAAACTGTGAGTATGCATCAAAAATCACACTAAAATCCCGCACAGTAACGACCGTTGACATCCCTTCCTCAAATATATCTCTTGCCTTCTCAAATAAATTTCTCCGAATATAATAATCAGCCAATGAAGTCCATAACCTCCCAACCTCGTCTGTGAACTTCCTAATCCCACCCCTAATTATAGCATCCACATTAAGCCCCGAAACCTCTGTTGCATGTCTGGTTAACAAATCACACAATTCTAACCATAACCTATGCTTTGTTTTCCCCTTTATTGAAAAAAACTGATCATCATTCAACACCGAAGCTAACCTCTCTGCAGACTCTTGCCAAAGACTTGAATTCACCAAAAACTCAATAAAATCCTCAATGTGAGACGGATCATACTTCAAGTACCTCCTATAAACCCTAAGAGATGTTTCTATCGGAATACCTTTCTGCTCCACAAACCGCAAATATATCTCCCAAATTCGATCATGCTGCGTCACAGGCAAAGCACAAAGTGCCCTATCAAACGTTCTACGAGTTTTAGTAATCAACTTCTGCTTGGTTAGAGTCTCCAGATACATAATCCAAATTCTGGGCATTTTATGCATGGTAACAAGGGCTCTCTCAAATGTGTTATTAAGGGTTTCATACTGTGGGTGAGTGATTGGCAAGTTCTTCACAATGTTAAGGCGCTCACGTAAATAGGCATGCCAAAGCTTGTAGCTTCCAGGCAATGCTTTTAGCGCTCGTTCATAAATTACAAAACGTTTCTTGAAAGGAGACTCAAGTCTGGCAATCAAATAACGCCACCAGAGCTTGAGACTAAAGGGATTTCTCAGGAGCTCCTCTTCGAACAAGAGATCGTCTTGTGAAGGGTATAACTCCTTGGAAATGGTCATTAGAAGAAAAAACCCTAGAAAACGGAAATCCTAATCTTAAATCTCTCTAATTATCTCTAAAACGAAGAAAGAAAAACCCTAAAATCAAAACAACAAGAGAGAAATTTACCCGGAGATCTCGGTTTGCAATGGCTAAGAAAGATAGAGGAGTCTAGGAGAACGAGTTCTTAGTAAAATAGGTTTCTGAAAACCGGTGGAAGAAATAATCCATCGGGGTGGCCGGAAAGAAGGGGGTTTTCTTCTATTGCTGGGATCGATCCATCATCGCCGCCTGTTCGGATAAGCTCGTGTAGATGTAGCAGGAGTAAAAAACAATTACTACCCCAAAGTTTTAGAAAGCATTAAGTGGCTGGGTACTTTTAACATTTCAAACCCACTTACCCTCTAATATTTTAAAAAATAATCAACTAGCCCCCAAAATCTTAACTCCGTTCAGTAAACCATTAACGACTTACCCTAAAATATACTAATTTGTTCTTTCAATTAGAATTTTTAAAAAATTTAAAAGAAAAGAACAACGTCCATGGCCGCCGCTCCCCCACTACCTCCGTCAACTTGTTTTTTTCTTTTTAATTTGTTTTCATTGTTAAAGTCACTTTTGCATGCTTTAATTTAAGAAAGAAAATATTGAAAGACTTTTGTACCCTTCTTCCATTAACAGAGTTTAATCGGTGTTTGTAATTAGGGGGTTAATTAACTATTTCCAAACAATAACTGGGGTAACTTGATTTAAATTTAAAAACATCAAAGTGCTCAGCCGCTTGATTATTTCTAAAACTTGGCGGTGGTTAGTTTTTTTTTATTTTTTTTTATTTTTTTTATTTTATTTTTTTTTTTATGCAGCAGCCTACCCAAAAAATTGGTTAATCATATTTTGAAAGTTCATTTTTAAAAAATATAAATATATGTTTGGTAAATTTAACTTATAATTGTTGGTGTATAATGAGAAAGAAAAATGTATATTTTATTTCTCAAAATATTCTTATAATTATAAAATTTTATTTTGATAAGCTTATAATAAATATTAAAAATCTCGACTTGAAAGCTCGTCATTTGTCAACTCATAAAATAAGTTTTATCTATTTGTATGAATTATGTTTTTTCATTTTCGAGCTAATCAATGACAAACTTTTACATCGTAGTTGTGAAATAAATTTTGAGAGAAGAGATCATGAGTGTAACAATTTTCATATTAAAAATATTTCAAAATATATTATATTAAATAATTTATTATTTAATTAATCATTTAAAATATTAAATTCAAATTGAACTGGCCAATAGTGACTTGATTGTGGCGGTTAATAACTTCTAGTTTTGTGCATTGGCAATACAATCGATCTTGTTAGGATTCAATCTATTGAAATACAGAGGAATTATCAGATATCGACCCATCAGTCCATTACTTAGCCACAAAGGGGTGCCACTTCCATTTACTGTTGCCACCAACTAATTAAATTTCATTAAAGTTATTAATAAATTACTTATTTACTAAATTAAGGTTTTTATTTTGTGATTTAAAGAATTAGACATGGCTATAATTGTCATTACAAATTTATAAAAATGAACCTAAAAACTAATGATACTCTTTCTAGATTTTGCAAACCTTCAATATATCTAATTTTATTTAAATCATTTATAAAATAAATCAATTTTATCATAATATTTTGTACGAGTAGACTTCTATGCCCTTTACTCATAATTTTTTATTTTATTTTTTTTTTACGAGTAAGAGACAATTGCCATAGAATCATTGCTCTTCACTCATAATATTTTTACGATTCATGATTTCTGGAAAATTAAGAGACGAAGCCGTGCTTCATTGTTGGGGAATCCCCATCTCCGCTCCGCAGGGGAATGTGATGGCTCCCATCCCCCGTCATGGCCCAAAGAAATAATTGAAAATTCATCCTTGTATTATTGGGCTTAAAAATAAAAGTTTCAGGCCATATTTGGTAGTAAATAAGCCTAGAAGAAAAGGCTCAGGTCAAGTCAAAGAGTTAAGGCCCAAAGGCCCATGGTCTGAGAGATAAAACTCACGGCCTATTTCTTTAAGAATAAGGGAGTGGGGACAGGGCCATGCCCACCTCCATCCCCGGCCCGTCTCAGCCTCCGACTGTTTCGAGGAATCTCCTGTTGGAGTTGATGCCCTAGAGTCAATCAATTATTGTAGAATTGACTCTTTGTAATAATGTTTATTAATTAATAAAAATGTATTTTCTACTATATCATGTAAATCATATCTATATGTATTGATATATATTCTTAGGATGGTAAAATCGTGATGAAGGTATCAAATGTTTCAAATCTTGATAGTGAGAACCCTATGATCACAGATGGTGGTCATTCTAAAAATATCCGTAGTTCTAATATTATTCTAACCAAGGACATAAATAATACGGTAAGGCTATCATAGTGTTGAACGACCTTGTCGAAAGATAATAACTGATCTCACTTGTCAAGGTTGTTTGTCGAAAACCTAATGCAACACATGGGTGCTTGCTATAGGCAAGTTCACTAGACTGACTCACCAAATGATTCCATATAGATGGTAACCACTAACCCTAGTGTCTATGGAATAAATCTTTTAACAAATAGTGATGCATATGAGCCTTAGATTTAAGATCATCGAAACGTCTTGTGCATCAATTGGTGTAGTTTGACACTAGTCCATCGTAGTTCTATTCAGAGCTATCAATACGATAGTGATTGACTACATCGAGGAATCTATCAAGACTATGGTGGATCAACAAAGGATTCATCACTTTTTGGTATGGGAGAAGTTATCTCACAACGCAATTCAGTGTATGACAATGACACTAAAGTTGTGGCCGCAGTGGGATTAAATTGTTGCTCAATCCAATTTATTTATCCGGTCATTGGTTTAGTAACTGAATACAAAGTTATCGAGAGTAACTAAGGTTGACACTATTTCTGTACCTCAGTCTTGATGAGACAACAGATGATGAAATGATTTGATTGCACAATAACCATATCGGTGATAGGTAATTATTTCGCTAAATCCGAATCTATCGGGTGACCATGATGCCTTGCTAGGGGCCAATATTGGTTTACGTGTAATGAGATGATTGATTAGTGTTAATCGCAATACTACTCACTGCCGATATGATGAGGAGCTTACAAGTTACACACTTAGAAGATAATTTAAAAATCGTTTTGTGCAAGGGGTATTTTTGTCTTTTAGGATGAAATGATACTTTAATAATCTCATAGTGCAATTAAATTTCTTGAGGTTGTTGCCTGTATTTAATTTAATATTAAAATTAAATTAGTGAGATTATAATTAAATATATGTACGCATATATTTAAGTGAATTATTATTATTAATTAAATGTTAATATATTTTATATATATATTAAATTATTTTAATTGAAATAATAATTAATTAAATTTAAAATACCAAAATAAGAGTGTTTGAATACAATGGTGGATTATGGTTGAAACCCTTGCTTATTCCATATAGGAATAGAGTTTTAACACATTCACTATACAAATGCAAGTTGTGTTAAAGAAAAAATTTATTATTTAATCATTATTGAATAGAAAAGGCAGCCACCCCTTTACTCTCACAGTCTCACTCTCTCACGTTTCCCTTTGTGTGAATCAAAGTTTTTTTTTTTTTATTCAACTTGATTCTTGAAACCATTAAGTGAATCTATCAAATCTCTTTTTTATTCTTCGGATTGTCTTAGTATGGATCACCATTCTTGCAGTTCTACATTAAATCAGTAGCGAAGAAAATTCAAAGACACTTGAAGGCAGTGACAGACCCAGGATTTTTGTCGAGGGGGGGCCTCTACAGTTTCGTCATTATTTGTCAAACAACTAATGAAAATTTTAAAAAAATTTCCAAACCTTAAGCAAATGATATAATACAATATCAATAATCTGAAAGAAAATAATGCAATAACACAATACTTTACTACTTGAATAAATCCATGAGAAGCAAAATCTTGAGCAAGTTATGTTAAAAATAACATCCAATTCACGAGGAAACACAAGAAAATTTTTACGTAGAAAAACCTCTTCAATTAAAGAGAGCAAAAGACTACATGAATCTAATGATCCACTTAAATCCAATATAATTAAAAGAGTTTACAACAATCACAATCCACAAAAAATGTTCTACACAAATTTCTTATTTTTCCTCTTTTTTTTTTTTTTTTTTTTTTTTTTACTCTCAAAGATTATAATATAAATTTTCATGACTTTGATCAGGCCTAGCATAATCTAAAGTCAATTAAAACTTAAATTAAATCACGTTGCCTTAACTTTTAATATGAATTAATAAAAAAGAGGAAATTTTCTTAGTATAAACATAGATAATAACTCAAACTTCTTAAATAATTTTGAGCAACCAAATGGTGACGTTTGAAATGTAAGAAAGTGATGGGTGAAGGATGAAGAATAACATTCAGTTAAATATAGTTAGGGTTTAATTTGGGAAAGTATGAACATTTTTAAACACAAAACACAAAAAAAACTCACAAGATCCATGCCTTTTTCCATCAAATTAGACCTTCAAAAAATAAGCATGATTCAACTCTAAAATAAACTAAAATGAAATAAGCAATACACATACCTAAAACTGATAAAACAAAAAACGAAGCTAATTGTGACACCTTGATTAGTGAAAGCTTCAACAATTTCAGTCCTCAAAAATTTTAAGAACAAATAACATAGAGAAAGTGAAAGAGAGAATAAAAAATTTTATGGATAAAATCATAAAAAACAGGTGGACGTAGAAAAAAGTGGTGGGAGTTTTAAACTTTTAATATGATGTAGGCCTAGAATATATGTATTAATAACAAGTTTTTTATGAGTTTGGATATATAAATAATATTTCTCATTTTTTTTTTCTAAACCTGAAGATAGACTTGGATATATATATATTTTAATAGAATTTTTTTATGTCCTATATAAACATTTTTTTTATCAAATGTGTGGCCTACCCTCCAAGGGGCTGGGTCCGCCCCGCTTGAAGGAGCCTCCAAACATGGGTAAGATTTTTGATTCTTGAATGAATTGATGTTATTTTGTGCAGAATTTTGATTTAACATGTAAACTATATAATTTATACCCGAATCTTGGCATAAAAGGAATTGATTCATCATTTTGATTTTTGTTTTTCCGTTTGTTTTGGGTAGATCGATTCCAAACATCTCTGTCCCGTTCAAGTCGGGGCGGGCCAAACGTCCATCCCTATTATAGAGAGAATTTGGGAAAGAGGTAAAATTAAGATTTAGGGTTTCATTACTTTATATGCGAGGGTATATAATTAATTACAGT